AAATTTTAATCCTGGCATAAGGCTTACCTCAAGCGTCTCTCGTATCAAAGTTAATGAATCTTGAGATTCGTTAACATCTGTTAGACAAGAGGTCCGAGAACCTGAAAGGCGTTTTTTGTGGACTCGTTCGATGTGTTGAAGCACGAGGGCTCTTGAAGGAGACTTTACGAGGCATCCTGGCTTTGTACAGTGAATTAATTTTCTTTTGTGTTTATCCACATGGCTGGCCCAGAAATAGAATCCGCCACGAATACGACGACAGCAAAACGGACAGCGAAGTGAGAGCTTAGTATCATAATCCTCAGAAGCTTTTTCTTTGCAGTGGTGTATCTTCCAGTGTGCTTCTAGCGATGCAATTCTACCAGTTCGAAAATTGAGATGGCAAGAAGGCTCCGCAGGGCATATATAGCTATGCAAAGAGTCTCTTTGCACCGAATCCAAAGAGGTTTCTTTAGGGCAAGAATATAATTCCGATTCTAAAGACAGGTGTCGAATTATATGTAGAGTAAGATCACATTTGGGAACCCTAAGGCCACAGTAAACGCAATCAAGAGAGGTTTCGTCCGCGTGACGAGTTTTAAGATGAGAATTGAACCCATCTGGATTCCAAGTGACAGCATTATGCACAGAATTTCCTATGGTTGCACATTTAGTGCATATGAAACAACCATATAAGGATTCAAGAAGAGAAATATTCCGACGGAGAAATGCAGAAATTAACTGATTCTGATGCATTAAATCGATGGAATTAATCACCTTATGTTGTTTATGCTCTAATTCACAGAATCCATCTTCAGTGTCTTTGGACTAAACAGTAAAGAGTAAGCAGGAGAATAAGTGAAATGTTTGTTAATATAATGAATAGGAAGATAATGTTTAATGAATAAATACTAGTATATAAAGTAGACCAAAATTTGTATTTATATTATATATATTTATTAGAAGGAATAAAAACAAATATTTACAAAGACAGCAATGGCTCACCATTGCAGGAAAATAGAGAATGTAGAAATCTCTCAAACTG